TGATTTAATTTTTTTGAATATTTATTTTAATTTTTTACTTATTAAATTTTTTAGATTATTTAAATTATTTAAATATTTATGATTTAAATTTTTTGAATATTTATTTTAATTTTTTACTTATTAAATTTTTTAGATTATTTAAATTATTTAAATATTTATGATTTAAATTTTTTGAATATTTATTTTAATTTTTTACTTATTAAATTTTTTAGATTATTTAAATTATTTAAATATTTATGATTTAAATTTTTTGAATATTTATTTTAATTTTTTACTTATTAAATTTTTTAGATTATTTAAATTATTTAAATATTTATGATTTAAATTTTTTGAATATTTATTTTGAAAAAAAATTATTTCCTTTGTAGTATTTTCAATTAAAAAAATTGAAGGTCTTATTAAATTGTAGTAATATACTTTTGTGAACTTTGGAGATTAAACAAATGAAGGTCTTATTAAATTGTTTCAATAAAAACCCAGACCGAAGGAAAGTCAGAATTATTTCCGTTATCAAGGGTCCTACTATTTCCCAGTAAGTCTAATAGAAGCCAACAACAAAACCATCTAGTCTTGGAGTTCTAAACTTTCCTAATTGGAAAATGATTTGCTTCACTTCATTAGCCTGAAAAGCTTGTTCTAGGTAGGATAGCAAGTTGTTCAAAATTAAATTTGCATTTAAAAATGGAAAGTAAATTAAATTGGTTTGGGAATGCACCTGGATCATTATGTTGGTCAGTCGTATGTTGAGCAGATCCCTCCTATAATAATTTCTTGAAATGCTCCACAAAAGTTTGTTGGATTGTTTCAGGATTCGTGATCATTAACCCATCCCTATTTTGAAGAAAAATGATCCTATTTGTGTCTTCTCCAAGATGCCATCCTGCAGAAAAACTTGTTTCTATCCCCAAGTTGCACCCATTATTGCTTTTTGAACATTGTGCCCAATAGACCTCTTGTTTGTTTAACAAATCATCCAAGCGATTTCGAAGTGACCATTTCTTGCTAGCTTGAGTAGAACTTGTTACTTGCCTTTGACTCTAATGTAGCCCATCCTTAACCTCATTGATTTGTCCTTGTATACTTCTGTGAGAGAGCTTGCTCCAATTTTGCAGATGCCTTAAGACAAATTGTTGCTTTCAATTGACGAAAAACTACTTGAGCCTTGTACTTGTACCTTCCAGATGTTTTAAACAATATATTTTGATGATTTTTCCGTTAACCAGAATGTTTCACCTTTTTTTATTCCTTGGCCTACAATCTGCAATTTTCAAGTGTCTAAATGTAGGGGGCTGTGATCTAAACTCTAAATAGGAAGTGTGCGGAGTGATACCTCAAAGGTCTTAAATGAAATCCTCGTTAACAAAAGAAAAAATAAGATCAGAAACTTTGTCGCAACATCGAAGCACATGCTTCATCTGTTCATAGTGCAAAATTGTCAAAAATTGTGGCTAGCTTTGAGGTATTTATCAATCTAATTGGGCAATTCATAGGTGTTCTTTCAGCCAAACTTTTCTTTCTTTTTTTCGTGAGATTATCATCTTTTGAGATTACCTAGTAGAAACCTTTCTAACTTGCAGAAAAAACTTGGTTAAGCACTGGCTGCACCTATGGAGCCCTTCTAGAGGCTAGCAAAATAGATACTTGGTCTTCTATAAGAAGGCTTCTAAAACGTGAGACTGATATTAGAGCAATCACTAAAGATGCTCGCTCTGCGGTAATCTGTAGATCTGTCATTACTGGGACTTTATAACTCTCTACATAATATGGTTTTTTCTGAATGTAATATTTTGTCAACATATTGCAGTCACTGAAGCTTTTATCTGTTATGGCAGCCATACGCTTGGATGAGAAACCAAATAAGATAGAGAATGTAATTTTCTCATCGCTCATGGATAGAACCATTGCCTTGCCTTCTTCACAAAATAGGTGCATTGGAGATTCTGTTGATCCTCTTGCTTCAAGCTCGTGGGACGAGGTAGGAAGTGTATACTATTTGTTACCCTCTCTGTCTGTGTGGGTGTGCTTATATTTTTGAGTTGACTGATTACTCATTAAGAAGCAAACTTAACCAGGCATCTCCAGAAAACACTCTGATTACACCTGTGCAGTGCAAGTCTTTGTGGAGACAGTTTAAGGCAGAAACTGAGTATACAGTCACTCAAGCTATTTCAGCCTAGGTACATAATTATAAACTGCCATTATTTTTCATTATTTTCTTCTTTTTCAAGGTCCTGCCTTTCATTTTACTTTAATAGATGTTGTACAGAAACAATGGATTAAAAGGATGTACGAATTTTTTTATTTGTGGGGTTGCATGCTTATTACCTGGGTATGACCTCTAGTTGTTATATATACAATTGCATGGTTTTGTTACTGCGCCATACATGGTGCCATAAGTCTCTATCCATTTGTTAGCACAATGGCCACAACATGCTTAGGGCAATGTTATGTACCCCTTACCCTTTCATGTCAACTGATTTTGCTGCTACAACTGTTGTTCTATTCTTGATGGAGTATGCGAGTTTCAATGTGCTCTTTGATTATGAGAAATTTGCCACTAAATTTTCTTAGAACTATATTGAATTGAGATCAAGTTGCAATTGATGTGTGATGGTACGACAAACAAATTGTCTATCTCCAATACATCAAATTAAAGCAAATGCTTGATTATGTATGCTCTTTATTTTTAATTATATCCTTGTGAAAGTGAGCCAATTTACATGTTCAGCTTGTGCATTTTTGTTCCTCTTACCTTCCATTCTTGGTCACTCATCTATGATAACTTTGCTTGATTTTTTAAATGCAATCTTCTAGAGCTCCTATGTAGAATATTGTTTGTTTGTTCAAGAGGCTCACAAGCGCAAGAACAACTGGTTACCTCCTCCATAGGCTATCATGGCAATAGTTGTTCTCAGGTTCAATGAATTCATGCTTCTTTTAAGGTAATTACATTGAATCTAGGAGGGTTGACTTCCTTTACACATAATAAATTTCTTAAGTTCACATTTAATTTGACTGCCTTTTATTTCTCATTTTGTCCACCTCTTTTACTAATAATCTGCTTTTATTTTCTTCTGCTACTCTAACAGGAATCTTATCGATTTTAAATCTAGAGCCTAATTTTCATTTGTGAAAAGTTGTCATTTAGAAACTCTTTTTCCGAATGGTTGACTCACTAAAATGGTCAAACAGCGTCAGACGTCAACGAAACTTGACACACACGACTAACTAGGCACAAATGACATGTAGGAAAAGATAGGACTCGAAATTGATTCTCGGTTTTGAATCTAGAGCCTAATTTCCGTTTGTGAAAACTTGTTCTTTAGAAACTCTTTTTCCGAACGGTTGGCTCACTAAAATGGTCAAACGACATCGGATGTCAACGAAACTTGATACACACGACTAACTAGGCACAAATGACTTGTCGAAAAAGACGGGACTCGACCTATTGACATTGATTATTTGTTCTGTGTTTTGTGTCACCTGTATTGCCTTTTTTTTTTTTTGTTAATCTCACATTTGTTTCATGTCTGCTGGTGTGAACTACTAGGGGCTGTTGTATCTATGTTTAAGCACAATTATTTGGCTAGATATCTTGTTTTGTGTTTATTCGATTATTGTTAGATTATAGTGGAATGTGTTCAATCAATACCTGGTTTTAATAGAATTATTGTCATTGTAGGATGTAATTAAAGTTTTTTGGATAGTTCACGTATGCCAATAGTCCAATTGGTTAAGGGACTTCTTATTACTGACAATTCATTGTGTGAAATTGATGGAGTTCCAATTGGACCCGAATATTGCAAAGTTTTTGTCTTAAAGTGAAAAAGTTGGATGCTCATTTGGAAACACCATCCTAAGGTCTAAGAAAAGTTGGAGAAGCTGTTGAAAGACACATTGTGTGGCGCTCAATTCATGTATATGGTACAAACTTATTTATTAAATTATTTTTTTGAAATAAATATCAATTGTTTTATAATTTTTGTAAGCTTGAAATATATTGATATTGTAAATAATTATTTTTTTGTTTCTTTTTGCAGATGCTACCCTTTTGAGTACGTGATAATATCTTCGCATATCGATATTGGAGCTTACTGTTGATACTATTAATATATATGTTTTTTTATTTGTATTTTCAATATTTTGGTTTTGTTTTAGATACAAATTTGAGTTCTTGAATTATAAAAAATTATTAGTATCGTTGGATGATGTTTTATGTATTTTTGTAAAGAATGTTTGGTTGACACTGTATTGTTACAAGGTACATATATATTATTATTATTAGTATATATAATTTTGTGAATGTGAATGCGGATATGTGTCGACGTGGATGTCAATGTATTTTATTTTAGAAAATATTAATAATTCGTAAATGGAATGAATTAATAAAGTATATATTTATTTTATGATTTTTTTTTTTATTTTTTGCGATAATAATAAACCGTCGCTAATGTAATCATCATTTCTTGCATTTTATTAGTGACAGGCTAACTTGTCGCATATACATATTAGTGCCATCTTTAGCAACGGTTTAAACTGTTGCAAATACAATATTGGTTTAATTCTTTTTCTTTTCTTTTTTTTTTGTGATGCTTAAGACCATCGCTAATAATACTTTTCGTGACGTCAATTACCATTTCTAAAAAAGCTTTTGGTGATGGTATCCTAAACTGTTGCTAAAAGTGATGGTTTCTCTGCTTTTTTGTGTCAGGTTAAACTGTCGCAAAAATTATTGATTTACCGTTGCTATAAAAAAAGTGACAGTTTGTTACTATCGCAAATACTTGTTACGCCCCCTTTTGCTATTTCCCATTTCCCGTCGCTACTCTGTCACAAAAAGTTTTTTGCGATGGCACGTGAACCTTTTGCGACATTTGAGACCATCGCAAAAGGTCCGATTTTTAGTAGTGAATTGTGTTGCTTGAGGAAGAAAGTAGAGGTCAAGTGTCATGACCCAAACCTGCCTATATGGGTGTAGATTGTAACTGGCTAGTAATTTCAAATTACCCGGTCTCAAAGCGAGGCCAGAAGCAGAAGCAAACTATAAAATTTTGTCCAATGAGTTATCCATATATGGCATAAACATAAACTCTTCATATAAGTAATAACTCACACCAATCACATACAGAAGATAGAACTCAGCCAAGGCCATTCATAACATCATTATTATACAAACTCAGAAGCTTATATACAATACATAGTCAACATGACCAGCAAACATAAAAGGACAAAAGCCTCTTGCATGAGGCATGCTTAGTTGACTCCTCAAAAACTTGGTATCCTCTCACAGGTTCACTGGGGCTGAGGTTGCACATCTCGCTACTCACATATATATATATATATATATATATACGGAGTGAGCTAACGCCCACTGAATAATACCAAAATAAAGAGGTTATTGAATGAAGTCCAACATAATGTAAAAACATGTTTTACAATTCTAAAACGAATCATATTTCACATTCATATCGAAAGATTTGCTATAACAGAGTCCATTATCCCATGATACATATCTTCTAATTTCCAAAACAATGAATCATATATCCAATCATATCAATATTTGTGATAACAGTGGTACATCCAATAGAGTAACAATATAACAATGGGCTGCGATATTGTTTCCTCTGGGCAAGGGCCAATGGGCCATAATATTGTTTCTCCCAGGCAAGGGTCTAGTAATGGATGCCACAAATACATTTCAAAAAGGGACATTCATTCATTTATATAAAAATAACATTTTAAAATATTATTCATGTAACAATTTTCAAACACATTTCACACGTATCCTTATAGCAATATTACTCACCTTGAGTAGGTTGATATTCCTCTAAATGTTCAAACCTACACATTTCGCATATGCACATATCGGAACACATTGTTCGAATCAAATAATTCATCTTCTCTTTCTAGTTCAATCATTCATGTTGGCTCTCACTTATTAGTTCCTTAATGAGTCACAATTCATGCCTAGCAATGCTCTAGAGAAGATGAGAACGAAGATATGAACACAGAAGAGCTTATCAAAATATTTTGAAACAGAAGTCTTCGCTCGAGCCAACAATTGGCCGCTCGAGCGGTGACAGAGATCTACAAAAGTACTGGATGGGTCTAATATGTGCTCGAGCCAACACTTGGTTGCTCACGGTCCAACAATATACAGAGGGTTCCCTAGAGTGCACACTTGGTCACTCGAGCCGTCTGCAAAGATTGCAAAAGTATTGGGAGCTCATCAAGTTCGCTCGAGCGCACACTTGGTTGCTCCAGTGGTCTGCAGATTTTCTAGGTTTTCCAAATTACTCTATGAAGTTCACTAAAGTTCAAAAATGCATCTTTCATGCTCAAAGTTTGAATGTCATGCTAGAAACATGTAGAAACCTTCCATAGTACATAAATTCATGAAAATTATGAAACCACATACTCAAATCCCTTTAAATTTTCCAAAATAAGGTTCAAAACTCCATGTTCTTAACTTGCATGTAATGAATTGCCTTTCCTTCTTTTCAAAACTTATGAACTTAACAAATTTGAGCTCAAAGGCTTATGCATGTACAAAATTCCTTTCCAAAACAAGAATTTAAGAATCAACACACGATAGATAAAACATGCATGTACAATATAACTCATAATTCAACATATTCTTGCATACATGTAAAGCTTCTTCATCTTCTTGACTTTAATTCACAAAACACATACAAATGGTCATGTATAATCCATGATTACAACTCTAAAAGATGACATCTTCAAGAATTGAGGGTAAACTCTTACCGAGAGCCTTCAAACACCAATCCCAACATAATTTGACCAATTCAAGCTATATCTCCAAGTTTCCTTCAATCTCTACACACACACACTCTCTCTCTCTCTCTCTCTCTAAAAGTATAATCTTAGATTTTTTGCACTCAAGAATGAAGAGAAGTGAGTTCAAATGAGCTTAAGGCTCATATTTATAGTTGGAATGACTTAATACAATAATTCAAACATTAGACCAATTAAACACAACTTAATTAATTAATCTGAATCAATTTTTGATCAAACTTGCCATAAGGTTCTAAAAATTCCAATCAGTCTATTCATGTAACCAATTCCGATTTATGATGCCATTAAGGCCTTTAATTTCAAATTCAGAGTAGAAATCACAACAGATAATTTTCAATTTGAACAGATATACTCAAATACAAATAAGTCACATGGCACATATCACAATTAATAAATAACACATAATTAAATAATTATAATCATGATATGCATGTTAGGGTCATTACTTCCCCCCTTTAAGAAGCTTGGTCCTCCAAACTTACATTACCATGTATTAGAAACAGGTCAAATACCTCAATCTTATATCATCCTATTTTTTCGCAAGCGATTTCTTTCTCATCAACCTTATTACGAAAATTTGATCCATTCCCCTTTGTCACAGAAGTTCGATTTATTTCTCATCTAATAGTTTACAGTTCTCATCAAATAGTTTATAGTTTAATTCGATCATTCAGTTCAGTGACTCATTATAGTTAGTCAAAATCATTCAGGTTTAGTAAGCAGATCCAGATATTAATCCTATAGTAGCAAATCACATGTTGTACCTAGTTCACATATCCTTATAGTACCAATTGTAAAATACGATAACACTGAGTAGTTAATCACAGGGAACACCAAATTTACATTCTTCCAAATAGTTGAGGTTCTTGATCCCAATAGTGTTCATAGTCAAAATAGTTCGTGATTAACAATTCCCATGGCATGAATTACAACATCCCGATAATACTAAAGCAACTAATCTTTCATATAATCAATATTTCAATTGGTCAACAGTAAGCAATATTCCACTACTATTCATAATCAAGTTGGTCTACTGTTAATAGTTCCCATGGCATCAGATTAAAGTACAGTAATACTGAAGCAGTTTAAAGTAATACATATGTTTCCCTATTAATCGAAGGTACATGTTTAAATACTGTTCATAATTACATAATCTGTCATTGATAGTTCACATAAGGTCTTCAAGGTAAAGTAAACATTTCAATCAAACACAAGTCCTCGGTTCATCAATTCTCATAGTATTGTGTTTAAGACGTGGTAACTGTGATAACCCAACTCGTACTATGCTTAATTATGCATGTGATTATGTGTTTGATATGAATTTGCATGTTTAAGTGTGTGAATTATGTGATTTTGGAATTATATCTGTTGAATATGGGAATATTTGTTACGATTACAACTTTAAACTGAAATTGAAAACCTTAGAGGCATTAGACACTAAAATCGACTTCATATCTGTGTTTAGCATGATTTTTAGAGCTTACTGTGAAATTTTGAAAAATTACGATTTGTAATGAATTAATTGAGCTAAGTTATATATGTATATAGATAGGAAAACTTAAGTTAAGTCTTGAGCTCATTCTATATCAACAAAAACTCTAGCTAGAAAGTTAGAGAGAGAGAGAGAGAAGTGAGTCCAAGAATTGAGAAGAGAATCAAGGGAGATTGCTAGATTCAACAGGAAAACTTAAGAGGTGAGCTAAGGTCGTGTGCCGAAGGAGATGCCGCAAAGCCAAACGCACTGTGAGTAATAGTATTATAAAGATATGTTCTTAATTGATTATTTTGATCCAGGTATGGTGACTTATTCTGATATTGTGTTTTGATCGAAATGAATGAGTTTTACGAACATTATATGACATGTGTAATATGGACCTAAGGTCGTTCCATTTATGCTATGATATATGTGGGCCTGAGGCCATTGTGATATATGTGGGCCTGAGGCCGTTATGATATATGTCAGCCTGAGGCCGTTATGTTAATATGTGGACTCGTGACCGTTGTGATATATGTGGGCCCGAAGCTGTTGTGTTAATATGTGGGCTCAAGACCATTGTGATATATGTGGGCCTGAGGCCGTTATGATATATGTCAGCCTGAGGCCGTTATGTTAATATGTGGACTCGTGACCGTTGTGATATATGTGGGCCCGAAGCTGTTGTGTTAATATGTGGGCTCAAGACCATTGTGATATATGTGGGCCTGAGGCCGTTATGATATATGTCAGCCTGAGGCCGTTATGTTAATATGTGGACTCGTGACCGTTGTGATATATGTGGGCCCGAAGCTG